CCCCCCCTCCCAAAAAAAAAAAAAAGCTATCCCCTTCTCCCGAATCCCCCCGACCTTTCATGACTTGCAGCATCAAAGTCAATACCCAGGCTTCGCTCCAGGGCGGTCCCAAGGCCTGCAGAAAGCGGGCACAGCGATGCCTCATGTTTCGCTATGGTCCAATCGCCTTACTGTTTCGAGTGTGCTTGCCAAGATCTCTGCTCACTATAAAATCACGCTACACAATTAATGGCCTGCGGCGTTAGGGTTTGGCTGCGACAGATTACTGCCGCTATGCCAGACAAGTCCGGCCCAGATGTTTATGCCTCCTGCAAGCACCACAATCGTTAACGCGGCTCCCTGAATCTACTGCATAGTCTTGCCGTGTGCTATGTCGTATAAAGGGGGAGTCTTACTAACCATTCACACACCTCCAGTAAGGGGGGCACAGGCACAGGGCCCAAGGAAGCTTTGTTCAGCCCCGTAAATGCTCGGGTTTTGCGGGAAAGGCTACCCATGACCTGGCTCTGAAAGTTTAGAGCTTGCCAGCCGCTCGTTCTAAGGAGGCTCGTGAGCCTTGTCAGGTCTTCCATTCTACTTCTCATGATCTGCCAACCAGATCTGTTTCTGGAAGGTGCGTGCTCTCGACTAGCAGGATCGCGAGTTTTTGCAGTCAGAGTTTGTGAAACATTGCCTTTGATCGACAACGCGAACGGGGGCGCAGCAACTGTTCTCCCCTAAACCCTAAACCCTAAACCCTAAACCCTAAACCTTTAAACCGTGTCTCTGCGGAACGGCCTACGGCGCTCAACCGATGGTCTTGCCCCTAATCTACTGCTTGTTTGCGATCGCGCTGCAACGGCTACTGTTATGTCGCTGGGGTTGTCGGCATCTCGGGCCAGGGAATCTCCGAAAGTTGATGCGATCAGCCCAATACCTCAAACTAAACCCTAAACCCTAAACCCTAAACCCTAAACCCTAAACCCTAAACCCTAAACCCTAAACCCTAAACCCCTAAACCCTAAACCTTGAAAGACCATGGCCTCCCAGCAAAGAGGATGCTGCCGAACTCCAGTCTTCCTTTCAAGGGGGCCCTAAACCCTAAACCGTTAACCCTAAACCCTAAACCGGTCTTCCTTTCAAGGGGACCCTAAACCCTAAACCCTAAACCGGTCTTCCTTTCAAGGGGACCCTAAACCCTAAACCCTAAACCGGTCTTCCTTTCAAGGGGGACTTTGTCATGGGGACTTCGGCTCTTGCCCCTTGGCCTCTCCTCCTCCTCTCTCCATGCTAACAGAGGGGCCTTAAAATAATTAGAATAGGGTTCCTTTAAAGGGTTCTTAAAAGGGTCTATAAGGGCTACTATACCTTATAAATGGTTTAGGGGCCTTAATAGTTCGAATAGGGCTTTTGGGGCCCACTATACTATATTTATAACAAGGACCCCCAAAAATAGTAGTGGTAATTATTTAGGCCCCTGTATTACTCGCAGAAAGCACGGAAAACAAAATCGAAAAGTGTCCGCGGGCTAGTGCGACGGTGAAGGAACCCGAGATTCCCTAGCAAGGACCGAAGGTCCGCAATGTAAGCAGGATCCTCCTGCCGAAGACTCCTATGTTTAGTCAGGCACGGCGGTGATCGAGGTGCATGGCTCTTCCATGCTCTTCCTGCAGCTAAATCCTATGACCCAAGCGTCACAGACCTGATGGTACGTACAACACCTGCAGCCCCAGCTGAGTCCATTTCGAGCCAGTGGCACTGACGCAAGAAACAGAATGCTCCACTGGCCCCTGCTCTGCGTGCTAGGAGTGGCACAAGCAGGGCCAACAACCGGGTAAGAGAGCTGAATTGCAAGGCCAGGGAAGCGCATCTGTGCGCGCTTGAGACGGTTGTCAGACTATAGCTACATTCTACAATGCATTGAGGATGCTCTCCCTACCTGAGGCTGACAATACTTAAAGGATCATGGGACTTAGTAAGTAAGGTTATAAGTCCCTTAAGTGGGCTTATAAGTATAGTTACCCTAATTATAACCCTACTTACTAAGTCCCATGATCCTTTAAGTAATTATAGTGAGGAGCCCTCCAAAACCATATTCTAATTAGTATTATAAGGACCCCAAAAATTTTCGGAAACTCCCATATCAACACTTCCAACGCCAAGAAGCGACTTCCTTCCTGAACACCGGCAGGATGGTGACTGGAAGCAGCGCATCAGCAAATCGTGGAAGTCGCCGTGATTCCTGCACTTTAGGGTTTAGGGGGTTTAGGGTTTAGGGTTTAGGGGTTTAGGGGTTTAGGGTTTAGGGTTTAGGGTTTAGGGAACCCCAAACCCCATGAACCCCTGAAGCTCGTAACCCCCCCCCCCTTCCCAGAACAGGTTTGCGCCGTGGGTTGAAGCCCAACAACTCCAAAAACCCTGTACCGGCTCCGGGCAAAGGGTTTTCAAAATCAGGCTTAGGGTTCGTTGATGCCAAGCCCCTGTGAACCCCAAAATTTGGCTGATAGCACCCTCGAACACATAATACTAACTTCCAGTAACCCCTTCGTTGTGCTGTGAAAAAGTGGCAGAAACCAGCGCTAGTTCCCAAGAAGAGCTCAGAAACTATTCTGGAGACGCCACGCGTCGCGTGTGCGGTTTAGTTCCGGGTTGCCTGTGACACGCTGGTTCAAGGGAGCCTAGCGCGGGCCGGCGAAGCCAAAGGGGTTGTTCTGGATGTGCATGCCCTGTAGGCTAGGCCCTGTACAACGAAATACTCCCAAGCGTGCAGAAGTTCAAAACCACTCATCATATGGGCGGTTGTCAAAATTAT